TAAACTATATTCACACGATTCTTTTCTAAGTGCAGTAGTAGCATCTTCAGCATATAGAGAAGACAGGGAAAGTAGTTTCACATCTCTGCTGTATTTTTTAATGTATTTTGAGCTTTGACATTTTATATATTGGTCTGTTGAAGCATCTAACATCATTACTTAAAAGGAGAAACTAAGCATTTTAAATGTAAACACAGCCCAAGATTACAGGCTATGCTTCTGTGGTAAGACTTTTGGAGATAAAATAATATTCTGTTTAATTTAGCTCACTCTGACCAGTTCTGCCTGACAGCTGGACTTTGGCTTTGCAGAATTTAATCTATTGGAGGACAGAAGTAGAGGTCTTGTTCTAGAACTCTGTTGTTATTTTGTAGTAGTTCACATAAATGCTAACGGAGAGAAAACCTCAGACTCTTGGGTAAATAAGCATCTAAGCATCAAGGCTCTTCAGAAAAGGTCTCTAAAATTCTCTATGGGTCGACAATATAGTTTAGAGGGACAACACTTGCCTAGCATGTGCAAGGCCTTCAGTTTAATCCTTGTACTACCAAACAAAAGGATCCTGAAAAAGAATGGCATTTCTAGAACATTCTGCTGTCACTTAAAGAAGCAGATCTCAGAATCTTTCAGGATTTGATGTCAAGAATTAGAGACGACTATGGGAAATAAAATTAAATTCACATCACAGAATATTGGTTATTCCTGGCCTGATTTCTATAGGCCTATGTAGCCTAATTAGACAGCAAAGAATGCGCACCTGTACACAAGGATGCTAGGTGGGCAGAGTGACTGCTGGACCCACATCTCTCTGCATATCCCGTGCTTTATGAGATGTGCCATGTTTCCCAGTTATACAATTTAACAGATTTACACTTGAGTACTTTAAATTAATGCAATAATTTAAAAGAAGCAATGATGCTACTTCTACTATGAAAAACAATTGAATGTTAGCTTTTCACATGAACTCAAATAACCAATTACTAAGCAATTAGTTTTTATAATGGTGAACCAGAGAGTCAGAGCTCAAAGTGTCGAGTCACTGAAGAGGAGCATCTTCCAACTTTGATGTATAAGAAGCATGACAGAGATTAAAATGCTAAAATAAGCCGTACTTTTAAACCACAGATGAATATCTACTCTGATCGTACCTTCTACAGCATCTGAGGACAAACTGGCACATTCTGAAGACCATCTGGGAGCTCCCAGCCCTGAGAGCAGCACAGCTGCACACAGGGCACAGATGATGCCTTGAAAATGCTTGCTGTTGATGAGACACCTCGGACCCATCCAGGATCAGCAGTATTCCTTCCCTGTGCATCGTCAGCCCTGTTTCCATTTGATGCCTTACCACTGAAATAGGACAAAACCTTGACACTGGCCCAGTTCTAATCTCTTGACATTGTTGCTAAGAACCAATAATCCCATGGGCTAATCAAAGACAACCAAGTTATGAATCCAAATTTATTTTGAATTTTACTACTTCCTAATCTCCAACTGAGTTTACAGCTCTCAGATTCTCCCAGCTACAGCAACCTTTTTAACTTCACTGGGATAATGGTCTAAAGGACTAAAAATACTCATGCAACAGGGCTGGAGAGATGGGTCAGTAGTTAAGAGCACTGGCTGCTCTTGCAGAGAACCTGTTCAATTCCCAGCACCCTCGTGGCAGCTAACAACCATCTGTAACTCCAGTTCAGGGGATCTGATACCCTCTCTGGCCTCCATGGGCTTCGCACAACATGAGTTATACATATACATGCAGGTAAAACATGTATACACATAAAAAATAAATAAATAAAAATAAAAAATACTCATGTAACTAGCTAGCCACTTAGGAGGAGAATATTATTTTCTCACCAATAGCTACTTAAATAATGTTGCTTATAGCGAGCACCTAAAATAACATCTTGATACAAGCGCAGTATTTGTTGAGTGAATGAATGAATGAAACAGTAAACCAGCCAATTCATGAAAAAAAGATGAACTGACAAACGAATGAAGTTTTTCTATTTCCAGGCCATTGCACTGTGCTGGATAGCCTCAGTTATCAACTTGATACACCTGGGAAGAGGGAACGTCAATTGGGGAATTTCCTCTATTGGGCTGGTCTATGGGCATGTCTGTGAGGCACTTTCTTGATTGTTGAGTGGTGTGAGTGGCGCCACACCTGGGCAGGTGGTCTTGGGTGGTAGAAGAAAGCAGGCTGAGCACAAGCTGGAGGTGCAAATGAGAAAGCAGCATTCCATGGTCCAGGCTTCAGTTCCCGCCTCCAGGGTCCTGTCTCCAGTTCCTGCCTTTTCCGCAAGGGTAAACTGTGAACAGGACATGTAAACCAAATCCCTTTCCTCCCCAAGTTGCTTTTGGTCAGAGTGTTTTATCACAGCAATAGAAAGCAAACTAGGCCACCCTATGAGGACAGAGGTAGAATCAAAATCTTTTCCTGTTATATGTTATCTGCAGTTTTCCAACAAGACTACATTTGAATGGAACATTGATAAAAATTTGCCAATTGAATCAAATTATATAAATTACTCAAGATTAAACTTTACACCTTTAATTACCCATATAATAATTTGTGAACTATATCTCCTCTGAAAAGGGTAATTTTTTTAAGATAAAGGAAAAATAAAATGAAATCTGAAAAAAAAAATAATGCATATTTCCTTAGGAAAATACTTAGATTTTCTTCAGGTGACTGAAATTTTTTTCAGAAAAGTGATGGTCTGCAGCCTTGTACCTCACCCTCCTGCTCTGTGATCTTCATGGGAATCACCCTTTGTCTCAGACCCTTAGTTACACAAACGAGCTCATGGTAGAATGAGAAGTCTTTTTAAAATTTTATTATTTATTTATTTTTTATTGTGTGGGAGCATAGATGCATGCATGCCACGGAGCCTGTGTGGAAATCAGAGAACAACTTATGACCATCGGTTCTCTCCTTTCACCATGTGAGTTCCTGGGATGGAACTCGGGTTGTTAGACTTACACAGTAAGCATTTTTACCCATTGAGCCATCTCACTGGCCTGGGAAGTCTTATTGTGAAAAAAAAAAAAAAAATGTATGTCTCCCTTAACATAGACAAGAGATGAAGAACTGCCTATGGAGCAAAGCCTGATTCGGTTCTGACCATCTACCTTTTCATCATGGCCATCATCTCTCCTCAGAATTCTGCTCATACCATTATTAGTTAGGACTAGAGTTTCTACCAGACATTTGCTATGTAGAAGGATTATGCGCACATTTCAGATTTTAAAAATTCCAAAACTTCTCTAGTTGGTAGTTTCAAGAAGCTCCCCCCAACACCGACATTGACTAAAGGTATTTGAGCCCCAAATGATCTCAGCACCCCCCACTCTGGGTGCCAAGTTGACTTTAGGAGTAGGCCTGATGACCAATGGCCACCATTCTGGAAGCTAGCAGTGTCTCCAGAGGCCTGCAACTTGAGAGTGTCCAATTTTCTATTAAACAGAGAGATTTTATGACCAAGTTCAGCAGAATAGACATGCAGAAAATCTTTACTAACAAAGGTGAAAACTGGAGGGTTCACGAGAATGCTTTGGTAGAGCTCACTGCCATGTGCAGTGGGAGTTAGGGATGGGCAGGCAAAGCCACCAGGGCAGCGGAGACCTTCGTTCTGGAAGGTCTCCCCATGCTAGACCTCAAGGGAGGAGCTCCCAATCAGAAGCTGGTGTGCTGTCTGGTATTCAACTAGAAAATGAGGCAAATGGCTAAGCTGATTTTTCTCAATAAAAAAAGTGAGAAACTTAAAGATAAATCCTTTTATCATTTTCAAAAAATCCAGCCAAATATTTCAACTTCAGTACATGGGAGTTTGTGCCTCTATGTAGCTGATCTGTCGTTTTCCTGCAGGTGTCAGGTCAGTATGGACGCATGTCTTTCCACCCTTCCCTGCCACACGTTGGCAAATGCTTCCATCACATGGGGCAGGGAGCCAAACCAGAAACACTCCCACCAGATGCAACCTTTTCAATTAGCGACAGTTACACTGCAGCATTGATTGCTTACAACTTCAAGACAAGGAGCAGTAAGACCTGGAAGATTCCGGGTAAAAGGATGAAATGGGCCACAGAGGGCAGAATGCACTGAGTTTCTCTTTGTGGCTGTAATCACAGTAATTATTCTAATTACAAACCCAGTTAGTGAGGCCCTATCTTATTCTCTCTCAATGAAGCAGTTGAGTGCTAAGGGATAGAGAAGAAAGAGAAAAAAGATTTTTGGAGGACCAAATACAACATGATAGATTCAAATGAGCTACACTGTATCTTTTCTGAAGCTAGTTCTATTGTGTGTTTGATTTTCAGAGAAGACAGTGAGAGAGCTCAAAAATAAGGAGCCCTTAAAAGCCTGGCCTAGCTGTCAGATGACCAAGAAACCTACAACAGAAGTTGTTATTAAAAAATATCAAATAAATGGGTAGCATTTAGGCAAAATGACTGCGGCAGTAGACTCAGCGTCTACTGGGAGCTACTCAATGCTGCTGGGAGCTAATGGACCAAAACCCACAAGCACCATCCATTGTTTCTTCTTGATGTAGGGTCACATCAGAGACTGGGGTCCAACTGTATTGAGCACCATTGCTGAACCACCAGAAGCCCAGTGAAGGTTGAACTCAGTTTCCAAGGACTCAATTAAGGAACAGCATAAGTGTGTGCATAATTCTTTTTCTCATGACTCAATCTCATACGAGGAAAAGGTAATCCCTATTGATAAAAGTAGCTACTCCTAGCAGTCTGGTCTAACTTCAGCTCTCCTTACACCACCTCCTCACAATGTTTTCCTGTCTGACTGCCCCGTGTTTTGTGGCAATGATTCTACTTCTCACAGGGAGTGAACGGTCATCCCAGGCTTTCCTGTGTGAGGAGATGGCACTGCCTAAACAGCAACTTCCAGTAGCTTGGCACCATTCCTCACAGATTCATCTCTTGCACGGAAACAACAACAACAACAACAACAAACCACTTGAAGCCTAACACCTTATATTCAGCCTCAGACCAAAGAACTTTATTTCTGTTTTCATTTCTTAAGCTAAAATGTTATTGAAAACATTTTCTCAACTAGCTGCTTCGGAACAATATACCGTACTATGAAGCTCCATACATTTAAAGGGTTTTTGAAATCCTAACAGGACAAAGTAAATCCCTCACTTTTTCCTTTGAGTTTGAATGTGAAACCATTTTCTTCCTTTTCCAGTCTTTCCTGCATCAATTCCAGGCTGACGGATGGAAGGAGCCACATGAAAGTGCATGAGAAGTGTGGAAATGGGAGGCCTGGGGGCTGCAGGCAGCACCACCTCAGCCAGGTTCACAGTTCCAGCTGGGCAGCCAGTGTTGGGCAGGGCCAGGGAAGACAGCAGGAGGAAGGCAGAACAACCGGTCCCCTTGAAACATGCTACTAGAAAAAGGTGCAACAAGAGCCAAGTCCCTGTGCGTTCTTAGTCACAACTGTGGGCAGAAGAATCCACTCGATTCCTCCCTTTGGTATTAAATAACAGTTTAAAAAAGCTTTTAAGAAACAAAGCAAATACATGGTTGGGACTAGAAATGTTAGCCATCCCAGGTGAGTTGTCCACGGAAATCAGTCTCATCCCTAGTCATAAATAAATAATCTCTTTCCTGGTCTGACTTCCACGCCAGGATCAATATCTCTTAACATCTTACTTATTTTATTACTGCTTTTGGTTTTCTGGGACTGATTGAAAGTTGCTCAGAGGAAATCTTTGGTTTTGCTTAAGTGTCCGTGACATTTAATCATGACTTTCCTTGCAGTTTAATTCCAACCAGTCAATCAGTTAATCCACTTCGATTGATTCTGGGCTCTCGGTTATTGGCTTGCACTCATTGGGCATCCGCTGGTGTCGACTCAGCTGGGTGGCCTGCGTGAAGCTCCGCTCACACCTCTCGCACCTGGTGGAGGCAAGAGAGAAAATTGAGACCAGGGAGCCAGGCCTGCGGGGTGATGGGCTTCCTCTCATCCTGCCTAATCAGAACAGACACTCCAAAGTGGCTTCAGATTTTACCGGCTCAAGAGGTTTAATTGGTGGCTCCTTCCAAGGCCTGGATGCCTGGGATGGGACAAAGCCGGTCTGATGCAGAACAGAGGGATCTGTCAATAGGCAGGGGGAAGGTGATTTCTCCAGAGAGCCCTGTCCTGCTGCCGCTCTGATCACTGTCAGTTCAAATAGATAAAGAACAAAAAGAGATTTTTAGGAGTGAGCCATCAAAGCAGAGCTTGTCTGCAGTTATCTGCTCTGTAACCCCAAAGAGAAATTGATGACAAATAGAATTTCACCTGCTGCTAATTTAAAATCCAGAATTCTACTCCCCTCAGCACAACAGCCAGAGAGCGATCATCTCAGAATTTGGAAATGAGTGGAGGCAATACCTTAATTTGTGAGGACTGTGGGGGGGTGGGGGGGGTGGCTGCTTTTCTGCTAGTTCCAGTGCCACAGCCCAAATTTAGGGTTAAAACAATTTGCAAACTAGCATTGGCAGCAGTGGGGAGGGGTTGGCTCAGAAAAACCAGGAATTGGTGGATGCTTAAATGGTCTAAGAGGCTCAACCCTACAGACAAGTATAGTATCGATAATGTGGGCTGGTGCATCTAAGAGGAAAAAACAGGCATTACACTTCAAGTATATCTCCTTGACTTAAAGATAAAAAGACTGTCATCTAGAGAACCTGGACTGATCCCTATCTCCCACAGTACCTATGCAGACTAGCTTTATAGCTACCTACCTAATCTATTAAAAACACAACACAACACACACACACACGTGGGGCCTCCAGTTTTTCTGTGGTTGTTATTTCTAACTAGCTGTGACTGTGCGCATGCATGTGAGTGTACACAGACACATGCACATACACACATACATGTAACATGGCAGCAAGTTGTATTACACAGTGACTTTCCCATCACCACCTTACTTATATGGGCTACTTTGAGCACTGTCAGGGACTGTCAGTCATTTTCTTAATATCACCTCCTCAAACCTTTGAAAGAAAAGATGTTCAAGAGGGGCAGCCACCCCCTCTTGCAATGCTGCAATCTCCAGCTCCCAGGTCCCTATACTATTGGAGTAGTGGTGAAAGCCACTGTAAGGAAATTCCCCCTGTCCTGCCAGAGACAAGGAAGCCATGTGTTCCATTATCTGTGAGCATTCCTCTCTGTCTCTTCTTGAGTCAGTTTTGGAATGCGTCCTGCCATGTACATCATCAGCTACAGAAATGGAGCACACCCATCCAGCTCGGATGGTATTCTCACATGCCTGGGAATGCTGGGTGACCGGAGCTTGGCTATGTGCTTGAATTTTCCAGGCTCCTGCATCAGCTGAGTGTGTCAGGATGAAGTTGTGTTTCTTTGATTGTCTTTGAGGGAATATTTTTAGCAGCCCGTTCCACTGTTAAAAACTGCACTGTGATCTTGACAAATGCATAATGTCAGCTTTAATGTATCAGACCTATCAGCTCAATGAAAATAACTCAGAAGTATTGATCACCTAATGATTTTTGGTGTATTCATTAATGTCCACGGGCAGCTCATCCCCTCTCCAGAGCTCCTGGAGTGCTGATGACATGTTAGTGAACTGCTGATTGTTTATTAGAAAACTGATTAGTTACTGGATTAGTGTGTCAGAATATACTACCTTTCACTACTTGACAAACTTTCAAATTATTATATTTCTTTTTTTAATTTTGAAGCTCTAGAATCAATTTCAAAGAGAGCAAAAATAGTTGGAGCAATTCTGAGGAATGACAATTTCCCTGGGCCATGCCTTTGCCCCTCTCATCCTGTATATCAAAATGTGAAGAATTTATATGCAGGAAGGCAGACATCTGCGTCTGTGTGGCACTAATGTTCACGCTGGATAAAGACAGTAAGAGAAAAGCCATGTTCCTCTCCAGTGGTTGCTTAAACATCTCAGTGAGATTTAACTGCATAGAACAATTTGTTACAATCATCGGAAAATTCTCCTGCTCTATAGGACTAATGAGATGATTGTTCTGAAAACTCATGTCTACCTCTGTTTTCTCACCAAATATAAGAAAAACGGCATGCAATGTATAGAAATTACTTCAATTTAGATCCTTTCCCCAGGAACTTCCTCTTATTGAGGAAAGTGAATTGTTAGAAATAATATCTATGTGGTTTGGGAATGATAAGAATTTGTATATTTGAGGAAGTAAAGACATGGGAATATGAAAATATCTTTAAAATAAGAAAAGGACCTCAATTTTATGTTCATCATTTTAAATGCTACATGAAAAAAAAATCCTCTACAAAATATTTTAACAGGTTTATGGACCTCATCAGAAAGACCGACTCCATTCAAACACCTTTGTTCTGGGTGGTCAGAGCAGGACTTCAACTGAACTGGCATCTAGGCTAATGCTGAATTACAGTCTCAGACAGATGACAAGGTGTGGGCATCTATCTCTAAGTCTGGACTTTGTGGGGGTGTTACAGAATTAAAGAAAGAAAGATGCAAGGAACAAGCCTGGAAAGATGCTCTTGTACATGGGTCTTCGTTGTTTGGTGTAAGCACTGATGTCACAGGAACATGCATGTGGAAAGTCTTCCAAAGATTTTGGCAAACACCAAGTTCCCAACTTCCTACAGGTCTGAGAGTCTTGATTTCCTTTTCAGCTTGTAGTGAGTGACTGGATTATACGAACTGAAACTTAAAACCAATCGATCTAAAGTTCTGTTACACAGAAAACCTGAAAGAAGCTTGTCTGCACATCTGTCACATGCCATAAAACACTTCTTGAATTGGACTGAATTGCACGGGGCTTTGTATGTGGTTTACGCTCGATGCATATTTACTGATTTGCCTTGATTTTATCTAGGTCTTGTTGAAATATTGGTCATCCTCTGGAATTTTCTTTTATTTTATACTGAGCTAAACTGGAGGTAAAAGCATCATGGTGAATATTTTCCCTGGCTTCTAAACAAGGGTGGAGATGGTGTCCTGGGGCAGGTTCTGGCTGCTTGCTCAGCTTCTGGGCTCAGAAGCTGGGCATAGCAGCTGAAATGGATCCTCAACCTTATGAGACCACCTTTTAGAACTAGACAGAGAAATGAGTCCTCATTGCTGGCCGGCCACCTTCGCCAACATGCCTTCCTGCAATAAAGTGTCTGGCCATTGCTGGCAAGTGAAAGGATGTCTTGCCTTTTGCTCCTTGTTCTCCATGACTTCCAGTCTCACAGAACAAACTAGAAGCCAAGACCTTTGATATGATATCCTTTTTTCTGTTTTTTGTTTGTTTTTGTTTTTTCTATCTTAGAAATTCCAAGTCTACAGCCTAGGTTAGCTGTTGACAGATTCATGATCTACCTAGAGCTCAGGAGGAGCTCTTCCAGGGAGAGTCCAGCTATTCAGATGTGAGGCAAAGTCTAGAGGGAATTCTAGCTCCTTCTTGCCACTTCTCTGCTCTCCTTTGAGGGCAGTGGGCTCCATGCCTTTCCAATCCAGTTGCCAGCAGCAGAGGTCAGAATGTAAAAAGGGTTTCGCCCTGATGTGGCAGGCTCAGTCTCCACTAGTCCTGAGAATTCTGAGAAGGCCTCTTGAGCTACGGATCAAGGAGACGATTTGGGGACAGCGCAATTTGGGAGATCTATTGGGAAGTTGCCTGGGGCATACAGTTTAGGTTTGTGCATCATTACAAGACTTTTCTTTCTCTGCAACATTGTTTAAGTCAATGCCCATTAGTTGAAGTAGTAAAATTAACTGTTGTGGTGAAACCATTTTTATTGACTAATCTGTAACAAAAAGGTTTTTTTGAATGTTTGTTTTATAAGCTTGTAAAAGGATATCTTCATAATATTTACAAATGTCCACGGGTTGGATGTCCATGACCTATGCTTAGAAGATTCTCAAACGCCCTTGGGATAACACAATCCTGAAAGACCTGGTTGTATACACTAAAGGATTTAGTTTTCAATTTCCTAGATGTTTAAATCTTGCACTTTCAAATAATAACAGTATACTTAGCATGCCCCTGGGCATATATATTTGATAATTTTAAAAACAAAACAGTATAGCAGATGGAAATTTTGATAAGAGCAAGAAAAGAAGGAACCAAAACAGTCACAGAGAATCTTGGCCAACAATCCTGACTGCTTCATTATTTTTTGTTTGCTTGTTTTTCCCAGATGAAAGCAGGTCTGATCACATACACACACGCACACACACACACACACACACACACACACACACACAAACTGTTGGAAAGGAGGGAAAATACAACTGTTAAAGCACTTCACATATTAATCTGATGCATTAAAATTAAGTTAAGATGGCAATTCTATTGGAAACATGACAAAAACAAGATGTTAAAGAAAAAAATTGAGAGCAGTCAACAAGGTTACACGTAAGTACCACCTTAACAGTAATAGAAATCTATTTCCCATTTTGACCCTGAAACCTCTTCAATTAATTACTAAAATCTATTTACACAGCAACAAGATAAAAATCAATCTTATTCCTGGCACTGAATCCATCTGGCTGCCCTCTCTAATACAAGGGTCCAGGAAGATCTTTATTCCTCCCAAATTCTCTCTCAAAGTGCCACTGTCACTTTCTACCTCCAGAACAGTGACGAAGCCAGAATCTGTGAGCCCCTGGAGATCAGACTTGAATGGGAAGACGATATCCACCAGACAGGCCACACACATCACAAACTCCTTAGGAACCCATAAGATGGGGCCAAGCCACCTGGCCCCTCTCTGGATTAGAGGGAGCGGCCTCTTTGGGCTTACTGCAGACTCCAGGGCACAGCTGGGCTGACATATCAAAAGCCTAATTTTAGCCCCCTTAACCAGAGGACGTCATGCAATAAACAAGCTGTACCCAGGTACACAGGCAAAAAGTGTCACTGATTTTACTATTAATACCACCAATTAAACCAGTATGGAGCCTAGTTAACCTGCCAGGTAGCTCAGCAGGTAGAGGTGCTTTCCACTAAGCCTGATGGCCTGAGTTTGATCCTTGGAACTCACATGATTGAAGGAGAGAACCAACTCCCGCAAGTTGTCTTCTGACCTCTAAAATGTGCTGTGCCATGTGTACGCCCACCCCAGATATACACACATTAAATTAATAATAAAAAAGAATGATGGATAGAGGTAACTAATTCTTGGGGAGGTGAAAAGATGACACCGTTTTACGAGCTCCTGCCTTTGTTGACAGACCTCCGAGGCAGACAGGACACAGACCCACAGGACTGCTCTCCCTGAGCTGTACCTAGCCTAGGCAGTGGAAAAACTGCTTGGCTGAGACTCAGGGAGGAGATTAGTCTCCTACTGCCAGAATCATTTCCTGTCATGTTTGATCTTGTCCTGCAGAAGGTAAATAACGTTGAACAACTAAGTCTTTACATTTTCCTTCATGAACAGGGAATGCTAGTATGGCAAGAGAGTAGTGATATAAAAGCACCCAGGAAAAATAATTCATCAAATGATACAAACTGCTCTGCGACCACCAACCTGATGTATGTAATCCCCACCCTTCTGAGCCTTTCCACATGCTGTTTAAACTACTGGAAATAACCACTTCTGATCCTTGTGTCTGGCAACTCCTATTGATCCTTTAAAAATACATCTTAAACATTGTATCCTACACAGCTTAGATTATTCCAGCTCTCTGCTACTCTCAAACATTGTACACATATTTCTTGGTGTTATATTTCTCATCTTGTGTTATAATATTGATTTATTAATTGGGCTTCCTCTTAGAGTATGAGGTTTTCAAAGTTGGGATGGAGAGGGGCTGAGTCTCATTCACTTTTGTGTCTATTTCTTGTGTCTAGCAGGATGACCAATGAGAAAGTAGATGTTTAATAAACAGTTCTTGAATAAACATGGATGGATGGATTGATGGATGGATGGATAGATGGATGGATATACAGATGGACAGGTGGACAGATGGACAGATGGATGAATAGGCCACATTGCACGATTCAAATTTCTACTGTTTTGATGACTGGTTGTATGTTGAAACACACTCTCTTACTAAATATCCTTACCCTATTCCCTGAATACTCAAAAAGTCAAAGTGTCTTTTGTTTTTGCTTTATTATTCATTAACAACTTAATTTTAAGGTTTAAAGTACACACCAAAACAGCACAAGTTGGCTTCCATAGGTTCAAACTCTAATACCTAAGAGGAAATAGATCACTAGAATCCTGAAGGGGTCAAATTCTCCAAGGGAAGATGATTCAAACATCCTAAACTATGGCCCCACTTCTCATGGCCATAGGAGTTTGATCATAGCCATGTGAGCTTAGTGTGGCTTCTAAACAAATTCAGATATCCTCAGGAATTGGAAGGATTATTAAAATTATTTACTCATACCTCCTCCCTTGACTGGTGAGAAAACAGATCCCAGAAGACCATCTTATGCCTCAGATCGCAAAACTTGAGCCAGGACTAGAGTGAAGGTTTCCTGACTTCATTTTCCAAATGTCAGCCACAAAACCCAAGAGATCTGTTTTACAACCTAAACATTCATCTTCCACATAGCCTTCTCCACTAGCTGGGCTGGACCGGGCAGGGCTGTGCCCAGGTATCTGTGGACTCTGAAGAAAAGCTAAGAGAAAGAGGAAGGACAGCTAGCTGGCCACTACTTACTTAAAGGGCTTTTCTCCAGTGTGGGTCCGGATGTGGTTGTTGAGGGTGGTGGCCCCAGCAAAGGCACGGCCGCAGTAGCCACACTTGAAAGGCCGATCACTGGAGTGAGTGACCACATGGTTCCTCAGTTCTGACGGCTGGGAAAAGGACTGGGAGCAGTGGCCACACTGGTAGGGTCTGAAACAAATAAAGAAACTGCTGATCATGGTTTTCTGTGTTGGTCAACAGTTTGTGAAAGAGGCCAAGACTGGTTGATGACATTTTCACACTTTTAAGACAGAGCATAGAGCACTGGCTACAGGAACAAAATTCACAGAGCTGCTAAGACACATCAATTTCCAAACAAATACCTGCTTCCAGGATTAATCATACCATTTTGAGAACCTCTACTTGTCTTCGTTTCCCCACAGGCAAATATCAGTGTATTTCTGTAAGCTTTACAAACTTATGCACAGGCTTAATTAAGCCACATGGTACGAAAGAAAATACATAATTGTCTTTTATAGTTCCCTGGCATTCTTAACTTTTTGAAGTGCTTTAAAATCAATTATCTAATTTAATCTTTACAGTAATCCTCTGGGTGGGACAGGGAAAGCAATTGCTATTATCACAGCCCAAACAACTGAAGACAGACTGTCCTCAAAGGATAGAAGCTGTCAATGCTAAGGTCATCATGCAGCATTTGAATCTTATTCCAAGTGTCAGGGAAATATGAGGGCAAGTGAACAAGTTGCACATATGCTTTGATAAACACTAAACCACTTTGGAATCTACCTACTGAGCAACCACTGGTATTACCCAGATGAATCCAGACCTGCCCCAGCTGTGTCTCTTTGAAGAAGCAATCCCGGCTTCTCCCCTAACCCGAATATTTGCCACTGAGTCTTGTTCTTGAACCTTACCTCCTCTGTTGACTCTGGTAGAGAGGAATGATTTATAGCATCAAGAAATGACAGGTGTCACTATGCTCGCAGGGGTTGACAGTGATGCAAAAGCCAATGGGAAGGAAGTTGTAACAAATACCTGATAATTAGCAAGATTATCAGAGCACATTCTTTCCAGCTCATGAGAAGTAAATCAATTTTGGGTTTTCATAAAATAGATTAAAATTCTGTCTTCTCTACAGAAGTTCTTCTGCTTACTTAAGCAGAATCTGGTGAGCGACAGAAAAACCTGAGGAGACTTCCCTATTCAAAGCTACTTCATATCATGCCCTGACAGGGTTCTAATTCGTTTATCAAAATTTTTGTTCAGAAAATTAATAATCTGCCTTGAAGGGTACAAACAGCACTCACTAAGCCCTGGTTTGCAGCCCAGACATTGCTGGCTGTATTTAGAAAGCCAATGGCAAAAGCAGACTTAATTGCTCTGCCCTTAACAAATGCAGAAGCTCCAATGACCAGAAACTGAAATGAAGGACCAGGGAGACAATGGTGACCGAGCATGCACAACAATTCAATTAAGTGCAAAATAAAGTGTACCCTCTCATTTGTCAACCGAAGTGCTTAATTGTGGCTACTTGCCTCACTGAACACAAATACTATTATTTTACCAGGCTTCAGCACACTGAGCACTGATTGTAGAATTTTTTAGCTTGATTAATAGTCCAGCGTTGGTCAATAACTCAATACTATACAATTTTAATTACTTACATTTAGAAATCTATCTAACTGCTCTCAAACAAGTTTCAAAGAATTATATAAGAGTCCTTGGTTAAGGAGTTTATCAATCTTGACAATTACACGTGCGTTTTATTATAATTATAAAATAATGCTTTGAAGGCCATTAAAATTGAATGTAGATGAAATGTCTTGCCAAATCTGTTCTCAGTAGTGAATGCTGACCTTAAAAGGAGTTCTCAAAAGATAGCTCTCTAGGGATGAAATTTTGCATACTATTGAAGATTATAAACAAAATAATATATTAGTATATGCTATATTCACTGACAATTGATTTTTCTAATAGTGAAGGGACCATTAACATTTATTAGCCTCTGGTTATCTATTTTTAATAGCTATCACTATAAACAATAAGCCACTAAATAAAACCAATTAATCTTTTCTTTTTTTTCTAGCTCTTCTGTCCAAAGTTGGGGTGATTTATTTCCTGCAGTCAGAACTCAATCCATCCTTTTTTATGCTAATAGTCACAGTGGCAAAGATTTACAGAGCAGAAATGGCCACAGAGAGCCTGATGTAGAATTCTATCATCAATGTAACAGCAGAAAACGGGAGAGAGGATTCTAGAACATCACTCTATCCAGCACCAGCCTGAGAGCACTTGTTAGGGAGTCAGTGGCCTATATGTCACGGTTTTTCTTATTATTTTTTAAGATTTATTCTTATTTTTATTTATGTATATATCTGCATGTGTGTATCCCCACATGCATGTGGTGTCTCTGGAGGCCAAATTCTCTGGAGCTAGAGTTACAGGCAGTTGTGAGCCCTAATATGGGTGCTGAGAACCAGACTTGGTCCTGGAAGAGCAGCAAGTGCTCTTAACCACTGAATCATTGCCCCAGCCCCTAGAGCACAATTTTTAAAGCCTTTCACAATATGGGCTTGGCCAAATAGAAGGACCTAGAACAGAGAGGGTGGAGAGGCGAATCTACTTCAGTCTGATCCTAGTCAGCTGTGGGATGTGGGAGAGTCTCTCAACTTCCCTGACTTCTGTTTTCTTATCTACATGGAAATGGGACAGATCTGCCTGGATGCTCTCACATATCATAAAGTTTCTCTCCTGCTTTGAGGAAACTAACCAATGCCCACCCCCACAAGGCTTACAAACCACAGAATTACCAGCATGATGCCACCTAGTGTGATGCAGGGTGCTGGCTAGCTAGCTCCCTGCACATGGGAATATGGGAAATTTTAATGTATTGGTAAAAAGTTGAGACTTAAGAAAATTTAGTATCAAAATAAAAGACCTATTTCAGTACATTTTAAAAAGCAAACCTATATACACCTTCTTTCTTAGGTACCTTAAAGTAATTTTAGACAATTTTCTGACATTCACTTCCAGAGCATGATTTTATTCATATGTAGAATTTAGACTTTAAATAAGTTCTTGCTACTATAATAGTCTCTCTCAGTCTAGAAACTTATGAAAAGCATAGAAGCCAGAAAGTATAGAAGTTGTGCCTGGGGTACATAATAAGGCCTTGTCTCAAAGGAGAAGGAAGGGAGGGAGGGAGGGAGGGAGGGAGGGAGGAGAAAAGATGAAATGAGATGAAATGCCTTTTAATTTTATTTTCTGTTATTTTCAGCATTCAAAATGAATAGAAGAGTCCAGATCTGGAATTACAGGCCTGTAAATATTGCTACTTTGGAAACTGAGGAAGGCGAATTGAATTTCAAGACCTGCCTGAGTTACAGAGCAAGTTCAGGGCCAGCCTGGTCAAAGTAGTGAGAACCTGTTTGAAAATAAAAACAATAAAAGAGCTGAGAATCTAGGTCAGTGGTAGAGTGCTCTCCTAGCATGCACAAAGCCCTAGATTTAATGCCCAGTATTGGGGAGGGAGAGAAGGAAATGATCAAAGAACAATTTTAAAATTGATTGTATGTCAAGGATTTAATCTAAAGACACAGGAATACATTCAAGACAGAAATGTCTTAAGCAGGCCTTAGGAAATGTCTCAGGCACTACAACCTCTTTTGTTTTGTTTTACTTTTTGTTTTGTTGAGACAGGGTCTCCCTGTATCTCCAGCTAGCCTGGAACTCACCATGTAGACCAGACTGGCCTTGATCTCATAGAGATCAACCCACCTTTGCTTCCTGAGTCCTGGGACTAAAGGGTATATACCACACCTGGCACTGTACCTTCTCTTGGATTACCTGGTATACGTCTGTTAGCATACCCTATAACTCAAGTTACAACAGGGGAATTTCAGAACACAGAATGAGTTACCATTTCTCAGGTATTTATTCTGGTGACCAATATTTCCATTAATGGGGAGGGGTGGATACCTGTGGGGTGACATGGCATGAGTGCATACGCATTCATGTGGTGGCCAGAGGTCAACCTCAGGTGTTGTTCCTCAGGTGTCATCTACCTTATTGTTGTTTTTTTTAAGAGTCTCTCATTGGTATGTATGACTCCCTGATCAGGCTAGGCTAGCTGGGCAACAAGCCACAGGGATCCTTCTGTCTTTGCTTCCCCCACACTGAGATGACAAGTGTGTACCACCACACCTGACCTCTTACGTGGGTGCTGGTGATAGAACTCAGGTCCTCATGCTTCATGACTAGCACTCTACCAACTGAACCCAATCCCCTCCATTCATTTTCCAAAGTCTGGCAAAAAGAGGAGGTTAAAGTTATTAAACTTTTGAATATAATCTATCTTAACTGTAAAGTTGCACTTCCTTTTGATATGTCATACCAGAAAAAGCACATATGGATGGGCATCCATGGGTGCTGCACTTAGCTATACTTGGTCCAGGATGTTACATCACTGCATTTGGGGAGCTTCTTTCAAAAGCACTTTGTTCTCCAAACTCATCAAATACATATAACCTTTCATTATTTTCAAACCAAACACAAAGTAATAGCATCTCACAGTCCAAAGTTCCATGTGGCTGCGTTGGTGTTTGAGACCTATAACAACGTTGCCCAATGTTGGAGATGTTCTAGGTCTGAGTGACCCAGGACAGGGCCACTAGCCACTCAGAGCTGAGCATTTGAAATGCCATTAGTACAACTAAGAAGCTGAACTATGACTTTACTTAATTCCCATTCATCTTGATTTAAATAGCCTTGTGTGGCTAGTTCCAACACAGAAAAATCAAGCTTTGTGAAAAACTAGAGCATGCTCCACCCCCAAGTATAAAATAACTGAAAAACAAACAAAGCATTGGTGGATTTATCTAGCACATATCGAAGCTGGTAAATTTCTAAGCAGAAAGAAAGCAGTGAGACAACTTCATACATCTTCTGGCATTCTCTGTCACTGGCAGCTCTTCTGCTAAAGATTACTCCAGTAAAATGTGCGATTCATTTGCTTTGAGTCTGTAATTGGTTTGGTGGACATAGGAAAAGGATTCCTCTTCTTGTTGCAAGTCAGCCAGCCCATGCGCAAATCTCTCAAGACTTCAGAGGAGCCTTACTTAAGCCGTTAGTGGATATGTGGAGGAAGAAGTTAGCTCTACGTAAGAAGAGCCCAGGAAAGCATCAAAATGCACAACCAAAGAGTATACAGGGTCGAAAAGGAGAGAGAAGATAACCTTTGCACCTGGGTGGCTAGGGGCAGAATGTAACAATGGGATACCTTCCGAGAAACAATTACAGTGATCTCTAGGCTCCTCCCACCAGACAGTGCCTATGAAAGTCATTCCCTTCCAACACCATCACATTCAATTACAATGATACTTAAACACAAGCATGAACAGCTGATGGTGTGACCAGAGGGCTAAAGGCAGACTTTCCCCCACGTGGTGCAGACAATCTATCAGAAAGCCGAAAGGCTGGTGTGTGGGAGAGAGAAGGGAAAAAACACGAAGTAAAATAAGATAAGCATTATAAAGACACTTTCTGTGAAAAGTGAGAACACGTTCAGAAAATAACCCACTATGGTGGAAGACTTTCCTTATCCCTTCCTGAAGGCCCCCAACCCTCATCCCCAGGGCTATTGAGAGTTTCTGTGGCAGAAAAGCAGAAGAGATTTCTACCTCCTGGTCCAGCAAAAGTGAGCCAAGTTGCCCTGTCCTAGGCAATAAGCTTATATAGAAATTTGAATGTTTGGAGCTCTAAATAAAAACTTGTTTGATCAACATTCCAACAACTTCTTCCCTTTGATTTCACCCAGTGGAGGAGGACTGGGAGTCTGTAGCCTGGAATAAGGAAGAAGAGATTTGGGGTTCTGTTTGTCCAGTATTAACAAAAATCAAGAAATAACAGTTCCATGGCTCTTGGTTCCTCATGGATGTGCTGGTTCCAACTTTGACAGATCTAATTCATTTTTTCCTTCATTCAGTGTGTGTAAGTCAGTGATGAAAAATCTCAACACTAGTATTGCTGGGTAGCCACAGATTTCTTCCCTTTACATTTTGGATGGCACCCCATATTAAAAGGCTGGAGGCTATAGAACACAAAGTCTCTTTGATGAGGATTCAAAAGACATTTCACAGACTGATACTCTGTTGAATGAAAAATCTTTTGGTCCTTAGATTCAGGAATCTGTTCCAAATTTGGATCTGTTTGAAACTCTAACCTGTTTAGCTTCTGACTTCATCTTCTGTGTCTCTCTTTCTAGTGAGATTTTCCCAAGAATAAAAGCATTGAGTTTTCCAAAGAAATGGGAAATGGTTTCCACTGTTCAGTCAGCCCTCCATATACATGGGTCTCATATCCATAGATTCAACCAACTAGAGAAAGAAAACTACTCAAAAAGTAATATGTCCATATGGAGTATGTGTAGACTTTTCTTATCAATAATCTTAAACAATACAGAATAATTATTTACATGGCATCTAAGTGATCTAAAAGCAATTTAAACTATACAAGAGGATCTGCATAGGTTATCTGCAAGGTTTCTACCATTTTATATAGAGGACTTGAGTGTATACAGATTTTGATATGTGTGGTGGTTTTCAACAGATAGGAGAGATGTCTGGATATGGTTGAATGAGTACAAACTACCAAAGACAAAGGCCCAGATGAATTATGAAGCTAATCACCAAAGAACATATGTATATTCAGCAGTTGTATGCTTCCACAGATAACAGGTAAGTTTCCAAATTTAGTAATTATCATGAACAACTGTGATATCCCATATTGGAGTTCTGGACATTTCTCCTAGCAATTCTTCATGTGAATAGGAATGCTGGAATGTTTCTCCCCCACCCTCAGCCCCGAAATTTTCTGATATAAAGACCATCCTGGGTTCTTAGGCAGTAAAGAGCAATACCAGTCCTATAGAGCAAATTAATCATCTAGAATGATATTAATAGACTGAAGTGGCTGGGCATCTTCCTCTACTTTCTCTTATCTTCAAAATCAACTCAGATATGACAGTGTAATTTAAGCATCTCTCCATTATTACTAAGAAATATTGTACTTTACTACTTTGCCTGTAAAGGGTCTAGTTTTCTTGACATTATGATTCTTAATTTTTCTTATTAATGAATGATGGCCCCCACCTCTCAAGTCTTTACCAACATAGTACAGGGAAGGGAGCTACAAAAACCCAGGTCCTAAGTAATCTGGTCTAACTCTATTAATCTTCATAACAAACACCTATTACCCTACCTCATCTTGGAAAGCTAGTCACAATATTTTGTACATGTTAGCTATTTTGTTTAGATATTTTTTCTGATATATGATAGTTTTCATGAATATATTACATCCATGTATTTTACAGGACAAACTTTAGATTTTCTGGATATATGTAGAGTCAGAGAAAACAGACTGTTTCTGTGTCTATTTACCATAAAATATTTTCTTTGCCTTCATGACATTCAGCATGAAATCATATCATACTCAAAGATCCAGAAACTTCAATAATTTAATTTTATCTTGTATGTTCAGTTACAGTGACTACAATAGTCCTTTGCAAATAATAGACCCATACATCTGAACTCACTCAGTGTAAGCCTTCTAAGATTGTTAAGGCCTCTTTTGTGTCTTAAAAACTACTAAGATGCTTTGCAAGCTTAGAACAGACATATCATGAGGCTACACATATACTTACAAACTTTTCAGAAAAGCCTTTCTGTGTAAGAAATCATTTTCTAACTTTTGTACCACCTCCACAGCCAAAAGTGCTAAGATGTGGACATAAGCCGCTGCTACTCACCGAGACGTAGCTGCTTTAGCCCTAGTACAAATGTTTCAATATTGATTAGTTACAGTAATGCTTGAGGTTAGGCAAACAGAAACAAAAGTGTAAACAGATGCAAATGTGCCTAAATCCTTGAAACTGTGACTAGATTATATCCATCCCCTTCCACACACCTCCATCCTGTGTCCACTTGTGTTTCCCAGGCACACTGTTGTTTGCTGCCATGCTGGGAGGGAAGAGCTAGGTGTATGTGATCAGGCAGAGTTGTATCTCTTGCTACATTAAGTTAAGGTTAATTCGTGGCAAAATTAATAACTCAAGAACCCTGCTTCCAAATCTCCAATCCCAGTTCCAAAAATTATTTTCTGCTTTTATAGTCAAAGCACATTTTTTTCTAGGCCATTTTTAGATATTTTGGTTTTAATCAAGTGCTCACAGGACATGGAGAGATAAAACACGAGCAATCCCTTCTTATTGAATTAATTTGATTTTTGTCTTTTGCGCTCCCAGCTATCAAGACTGTCGAATAAACCAGGTTTGATTCATAAATAATAGTTCCATTATATCTACTGTGCCACTCGTCAGAGTACCTGAAATTTTAATTCACTTGTTCAGCTAAATTTCATCCTCAGTTCATGGCCATAAAATTCCTTATTGACAAACTTTCAAACCAACTTTGACTCTGAGGTATCTAGTCAACATTTTTCTTCTGTGTGGATATTAGTTTATTGAATAAGTGGTATCTGTTTTCCTCCACATCACTAGCCGAGTAGGTATTTCCTTTTGACAGGTTTGCAGGATTTATGGGTTTGCATGCGCTGAAGAAAAATAGTACTAAGCAAAAAATTCCAATTCATTACCTCTTAGTACTTAATTAAGTTCATACTCACGGCGCACTGGAGGTGAACTCTGAAATGACTGTGACAGCACGAAGCCAGCTATATTATCTTTGGAAGACAGAGAGGATTCTGATTATCCTGACCTCATTTTTCCACCCATGATATTCATAAATGTTCCTTCTCTTTCGCTCCCTTTCAAACTTGGACAGAGCTGTTGGATAGCGAGTGCAGATGCCTCTAGGCAGCCACCAACCTGTCTGTGCAGCCCTCACAAACAATGGAGGCCAGCTGTGCCTAACACAACTCTCCAACTTCCAGCGTGTAGCACAGGGTTTCCCCAAGGTGTGGGAGGAGGGAAGGCAAGCCCTGGGCCTCACCTGTCGGGGTTCTGCGTGCACACGTGCATCTGCAGGAGGATGCGCTGCGTGAAAGTCTTAAAGCACTGGCCACACTTCCAGAGGTGCCAGTCACTGAACTCCGAGTGGAGCTGGCTGGTGGAGGTCGGGCTTGCCAGGACCCGCTGGTTTTTCACGTTGATTTGGTTAAATCCCGATTCCATGGGCCCAGACTTATCCAGGAGAGAGAAATTCCTGCTGCACGGAGTCTGGGGAAAAACCACGGAGCGCTGCTGGCTGGCCGGAGAGAGCTTGTTGCTTTTGTTGAAGGGCTGCAGGGCATCCTGTCGGCACATGGCTTCCATTACTGTTGATGGGACATTCACTAGGAGAACAGGGAGAGTTTGAGACCACTTTTACTAGCCCTTAAAATAAACACAGTAACACATACTTTAAAACATTTCTATGAATTAACATCTGAAAATTGTGCTTTACTGGACTCCACATAATAGAGAATTTGAGGGGAAAGTCAGGCTTATCACAAATTAACAGTTCACCCAAGGCCTAGTCATTAACCACTACCATATACTCAAGACTGTTCTACATAAGAACACATAAGTCTTTGCTTTCAGTATGAACATGATTATGGCTAGGGGCATACTTGACTCCACCCTCCATTTTCCTTGGAGGCCTTCAGACAGGAGAGGCAGGGAGTTAGCAGGGGGTGTCCAGAAAGGGTACAGTAGGCTGGACTACAAAGGGAATGCCATGCCTCCCACCGGATCTTGCACAGGCCAAGTATTCAAGTAGGGCTGATTGAAGAGCTGAGGGAAGAGGAGGAGGGGTACCTGGAGACAGGAGAAGCCCAGCAGTTTGGTGGACAGTATGGTAGACCAGATGACCCAGAAGGTGCAGGATTCTGGGCACCATGGGGAGGAGGGGAAATAACAAACCAACCTCAGAATGCTTTAAAATTAATTAAAAAGTATTTAAGGCCCAGGTAATTAATAGACACCACCTATTTTGAGTGGCATAAAACCACTCAGAGTTCAGGGAGGGCTTGTGGGACTTGACTGACAGAGGGACAGAGAGCAGATAAAATATTAGCCAAGATGCTTGCAACTGAGGCTTTGAGATGGGGGAAGGCCTAGGCTCAAGTGTTGACTGCCTTTCTTAAGGATAGTGATCTCAGGCGACTTGTTTAACTTCTTGTGTCCTTTTTCCCCTTTAGTAAAATGATAGTGGTAGCAATGATTCTAAAAATAGTAGTCACATGGCTTGGTGGTTGGAATGGCCTAGATTCTAACTCCACTATTTCCTAACATCGTGACTGTGGAGACTAGTGCAATATTCAAACCCAGGATTTAGTACTTGGAAAACATGAGATGGTCCCTATAAGGATGGAAGGAAATAATGCATCAATGGCATTTAGTAAAAAGGTCAACACACAATAGACGAGGAGCTCTGGGAGCCCAGTTTCCACATCTTTCTGCTCCATTTTACTTTTTAAAAAATATTTTATTTATTATTTTTATTTTATGTGTATGCATGCGTGTATGTAAGTATACCCATGTTGTGCAATGTCCACTAAGGTCAGAAGAGGGCATCGGATCCCCTGGAACTGGAGCTAAGACAGTTGTTAGCTGCCATATGGGCGCTGGGATTCAAACCTAGGTTTTCTGCAAGAACAACCAGAGTTCATATGCTGTGTCGTGCAGTGCCCGCAGAGAAAAGAAGAGACTGTCAGATTCCCTGGAACTGGAGTTACAGACAGTTGTTAGCTGCCATGTGGGTGCTGGGATTCGAGCCCGGGTCTTCTGCAAGAACAGTTAGTGTTCTTAACCGCTGAGCCATCTTTCCAGCCCCTCTGTCCCATTTTATGAATGGAGGTATGATAATAAAATAATTCATCACAGGGCTTTGAGGCCAATGGCAGTTACCATTCTTAATGTAGGAAGAGACAGCTTTGGAAGGAGGGAACTGGCCTCTGCTGGGGAGGGAACAAGAGAAGTGAGGGAGAAGCTACAAAATAAACATGGTTTTAAGAGGGAAATCTAAAATACTTTTTTTTTTTTAAAGGCAATGCTTGATAGTCCAGGATGTCCTAGAATTCACTATGTAGTTCAGGGTGGCCTCAAACTCACAATGATCTGCCTGCCTCGGCCTCTTAAAATGCTGGGATTATATGAGCTACGATGTCAGGCTTCTTTTTAAAAAATATTTTATTTAGTATTTTTATTTTTTGTGTATGAATGCATTGTCTGCATGTGTGTAAGCACACCCATGTCATACAATGCCCACAGAGGTCAGAAGAGGGTGTCGGATCTCCTGGAACTGGATTTATTGATGGTTGTTAGTCACCATGTGGGTACTGGGAACCAAATCTGGGTCCTCTGCAAGAGCAGCTAGTAACCTGGGTCCTCTGCAAGAGCAGCTAGTGTGCTTAACCACTGTGCCATCTCTCTAGCCCCCAAGCCTCTTTAAACTTCCTTATGTGTTAGTAATATTTACATTCACTGGTCATTCCACAGGCCAAAAAGTGGTTAGAATCTATATAAAAGACTTAAGAAAATTTGAAAAGTAAGGCCTGGCATGGTGGTGCACAGCTTTAATCCCAGCACCCAGGAGGCAGGAGGCCCACAGATCCTTATGAGTTCCAGGTCAGACCCAGGCTACATAGCAAGTTTCAAACCAGCCAGGGCTACACAGTGTGACCCTGTCCCAAAGAAATCAAACAAATAAATCCTACATTTTTAAAGTAACTACTGTGTCCAAAAAAAATGTAATTATTGGGTCATTTCAGGAGGCAAAGAGATTGAAAGTTATACAGTAGTCAAGAGATCAAAATATTTGAAGAAAATGATGGGCAAAAAGATTGGTGAGGGCAAGTAACAAAATCATGGTCGCTATAGTTGCTACCCACTGGTTCAGAACCACACGGAAGGAAATACAAACTGGGAGCTCTCTCATGCTTCACCACACACCATGGCTGTGGTTCCTTCCCAACAAGAAGACAAAGCATCCTCAACTGTAAAGAGAGAACAGTAGCAGTGTGACTCCAGGCAGCTCTGTGAGTAAGGGGGCGGGTAGATACCATGTGTGGGGACAAAAAGCAGTTGGTGTGCTGCTTAAAGTCCCTTCATCTCAGAGCATTCTGCAGAACCACATGCTCATCAACTCTGACAAAAGGAATAGTCCTATCTACAATAACCAAAACCTAGCCCATCCTGTCTGAGGAAGGCAAGACAAAGGAAAACACTTGCACACCTGGAAAGACCCTAGAACATGTCCTTCACTGCCTACTGAAGATTAGGTTTATAGAGGAAGGTTACTTTTAATTAAATGAATCCCTTAACTAGGGCCTGGATACCTATATTTTTTAAAGTTATAAATGCTTCTAAAGTGAAATCAGGGCTGAGAATTACTGACCTAAACCTACCCTCTCTTTTATTACAAATGGCAAGACCATCAGCCCAAGAAGGTCCAGCAACTTCCTTGGAGTGACACATTTAAGTTAAGGACACATCTAGGCTGCAAGTTTAACCTTCAGAATTCCATTTCATTTTTAAATTTTTATTTATTTTCATTTTATGTATATGAGTGTTATGCCTTAATCTATGTAAGTGCACCCATGTCGTGTCGCGTGCATGATGGACAGAAGAGGGCATCAGATCCCCTGGAACTGGAGTTATGGATGGTTGTTAACCACCATGTGGGTGCTGGGATTTGAACCTGGGTCTTCTGTAGGAGTAGCCAGTGCTTTTAACCACTGAGCCATCTCTCCAGCCCCGTGATTTCATTTTTTGACTTACAGCCATACTCTTGGTCACTACTTGTGTTTCAAAAAGAGAATGGGCATTTTATAGGTAGTACAGTGCATTGTATATATCATATACATCAAACCATACATATTATGTATACATATATTTTATGTAAACCTATATTCATACATATGTATTTTGTGTATATGTCTTTATTTCATATGTAAAATGTACATGGCATTATCTTTGAAGTAACCTCTAAAAGATAAGGAAGAATGGTTTGCCACATTTGGAATTTTTGTTGTTGTTTTTCATGTTTTTTAGACAGGGTCTCCCTGTAGCCCCAGCAGGCCTGGAACTCACTATGTAGATCAGGCTAACATCTATCTCACAGAGATCCACCTGCCTCTGCCTCTCTAGTGCTGGGATTAAAGGCATGCACCACCGTACCCAGCTACGACTGTTTTTAATAAAAATATAAACACCTCTACAATGGAACCTCTACACCTAAGGCTCAGGGAACACAGTGGAACAGGGGCTATAGAGAATACTAATACATCTCTCAACTCTCATCAGTGAAGCTTCCTCATATAACAGAGAGTTATTAACACAGAAAGCCACAGCTGGCTAAAATGTAGAGAATAAGAGACTGCAGAGTACGTGACCCTGTATAGGACTTACATATTAAGAGCCCACCCACCCAGGGCTCAGGGCTCATTTCAGAAGAGGGGGTGGAAAGATCATAAGAGCCAGGGGGGGTGCATGATCACAGGGAAACAGACTTTTCCAGGTTTCTGGGAACTTGCTCCTATGAACATACAGCAATGGTCACATCACAGTATGCATAAGACCCGTGCAAACTCAAACCAGACAAAAATCCAGCATAGAAGTGGGAAAAAGGGAAAGAAGCCCCAACCTTAGCCTAGGAACTATTGGCAGCTGATCACTGTTGGGTCAGGAAAAGTAGGTTTTCTTTAAGGGAGTGATGCTAGGTAGGCTGACCAAGCTCCAGTGAATGAACTCACACCGAGAGACATCTGAAGGCAAAACCTTAATATGTCTTAACATATATGACAGAATGATCCAGTGGGGGGTTGTGGGGGAGTGCAGATAGAGGAGGGTGTCTAGATGCAATTAAGATATATTTTATGAAATATAAAAAAAATCACATATATATACATATATATGAAAAGCAAACCCAGCAGTATTGTAGGACGTCAGGATGTCACTCAGCATTTTCATCAGCAATCTAGAAGGGGCAGCCCAGGGAAACCCGAGTCTCCAGGCAATACTACACTCTGCCAGTCAGGAAATTTCAGAAGGAATGCAGGGTGGTAAGATGGTAGAATGAAGAAGTCAACAGGCAGGAGCTCAGCGAAACCAACCAGAGCTTCCTGTCGGAAAGAGGAACACAATGCCTTTGTGGAGATCATTCAACTAAGGCTCTAAGTGCAGAGACAGAGTCTGACTTCTCATTTGCACTCCTAGAAAGTAATCTAATTAGTGAAATTTTTAAATCCTTAAGGCCACACAAACTTTATATAGAAACAGATTTGTGGGTCAATGCATTCCTATAAGTTTAATAACTGATGTCAAATAAAAATTCAAATTTATATATCTGAAA